CAGTGCTGCCATTTTTGGTGGTGTCATTCTTGATGTTGAGATTTTTCAGAATAATGATATTGTTAACTAGAAGTAAAAAAGTTGGGAGAGAGAGAGTGTTGATTTATTAGTACAAGAAGCATTATTTTTGTGTAGACATGGTTGTTGGAGGGTAAGGTGCTAATCATATAATCTTCTGTTGTTTAATAACGGGATTTTAGTACTTCAATTCTAGAAAGAGTTTATAGGTGCAAAGAAATCTGAGAAATGTGTATGCATGTTAAAATGAGGATATAAGATTTTTTTTTTTTAAATTAGAAGTGAAGACCAAATATGGCAGCTAGGAAAAATTTCAATTTAGAAAACATTCACTTACATATTTAGCAAACTAATTTTGTCCTTACTGTGAATATACTTAGTACTAATGCTAAATAAGCATTGGAGATAGAAACGATCTAGTTATCTGTCCTTTAGGAAGTTTACTTTCATTTTATGAAAAAAAGGTAAGTAAGCACAGTGCCAATGTATAATAAAAAGGTTTAGAGGAGTCCAGACAGAAGCATACAAGAATATGTGAATAGGTCAGAAGAGAAAACAGGAGACATGGAAGTCAGAGAAAGAAAAGTGAATTAGAGAGTTCTGTGGCCTCTGTTGTCCTGTAAAGATTGTGAAGGCTGAGGACTCTGAGCCATACTATTTTGGTAATAAGAAGATAGCATGATTTTCATAACATAGGTTTTAATTGAGTAGTTTTGACAGCATGGTGGAGATACAGAATCAGATTATAGAAGTAGGCATGTGAGGGAGTGGTTAAAAAAAAAACTTGAACAGAAACACCACTTCTTAAAATTAAGTTTGTTGGTACATTTTAGGTACACATAATGATCACATTCATCTAAGGGATTTGCATTTGTACATGATATAACTTGATTCCTTTTTTGTTCTTGTTCCCTTGGCTTCCCTTCAACTTGTCTTCCTGTCCTTGTTTACAGAAGTTTTATTTCTGGTTTTTCCTTTTCTCATTTTCCCCCCTTTCTGCCTTTCCTCTTCACCCTTCCCCAGTTCTCCTTTGAACATTTTCTTCCTATTTCCCAATATCTATTATACATTTTGGTTCTTTTCTTATTTTTTTGTTATTTCTAACATGATGCTACTTTTTTTTTTGTTGTTAATTTTATTGAGAAACAGCAGTGAGACAGTTTCAAAACCGATTAGTAGGACAGTTTCAATAATTAATACATTGCATATTGTTATCGTCTTAGTGGTTATTCATAGTACAAGATGCAGACATGATATCCTGTCCAAATACTATTAATTACAAATCTTTCTTCTAATTGAATTAAGAAAAGGTAGCTGTATATCTATTCTGTATTGTATGTGCAGATACAAAATGGTCCTTCCTTTGTATCCCCTTTTTTTGTTTAGTTTTCTTAGAGATGGTATTTCATTGCCATTTAAATATTGTAGGTACACGAATTCAGCAAAATAGTCCAATATAGTCCAGTAACCCATAATAGTAGTGGGTTATCCGTAGGACTGGCAATGTCAGAAGTTGTTGACTTGAGCCTTTCACAGCTCAGCATATTAATATGGCTTTACTTTTTATACCTTGTTTTTATACTTTTCTGCTGGATTGTTAAGACCAAGATGAAACAAAACCACAAGAAATGTATCTTTTGTATCTGATAAGATCAAGTCAAGTCCCCTCAGGATTTATCCTGTTACCCTGTACCGCAGTTTGCAGATCCTTTGTCAGTGTCAGCCATGTGGATGAGTCACGGCCATTGCTTGGCCAATGTGCTCTCTGTGAAAGCCTGAGAGAATGTTTTCTCTCCATGTGACTCTCCTTAGGCACACTCACGTCATCGATCATGGCCCCATTATCTTCTTGATCAGAAAATTTGGGACACAACTGAGTTACATGATGTTACAGTATAAGTTCTCCTATTTCCTGAGTCTTCACTGACCTTGAAAGTCTAGGCCCATGATGTTGGCTGTCCTTGCAGCTCTTCTTTTTCTCTAATTTTTGGTCTGCAAACTTAGGTTGTTAACCCTCCACAAGTGAAGCTCATTATTACTCTACAACATATGCAGTTGGGTTTAACCTCACTATCTGTCTGAATATCAAACATTTTAGGCATAACATGGAACAGGTATTTGGTGCAACCATTATGGCAATCAGTGTGGATACTCCTTAAAAAATCTAGGACTGGAAATCCTAGTCAAGCCAGCTATCCCTCTACTGGGAATTTTCCTGGAGGAACTGAGTATGTCATATCATAGTGATGTATGTGTACCTAAATTTATAGCAGCACAATTTGTGATAGCCAGATCTGGGAAACAACCAAGATGCCCATCACCTGAAGAATGGATGAAAAAGATGTGGTATTTTTATGCAATGGAGTATTACTCAGCTATAAAGAATGATAAACTTGAAGCATTTATATTTAAGTGGATGCCACTTGAACATATACTCGTAAGTGAAATAAACCAGACCCACATGTGTAAGTAACGTATGGTCTCCCTAGTATAAGAACTCAAAAGAAGAAATACAAATAGAAAGGTATAACACAATTAAAAGGAAACCAAGATCTTGAGGATTGGACAATGAAGAGAGGGCAAGCTGGGAAAAATGACAGGGGCAAAGCCATACATTTATACACACAAGATGGGTAAGGCAGTGATCCTGAGAAACATCAGCAGGTTTTTGAAACCAGGAGTTAATTGGTGGGATTCTCACCCTGACTAACTATATATGCTGATACCTATGAACTAAGCAACTGCACTGAAGAAAGCAATATGTAATAGAAGGGTCACACTTGGAATGCCTGTCATTATGGTCGTCTAAATGTATACTGCTTGTCATGATATACCAATTATTGCCATACTGTTTCTTAAGTAAATGTTTGTTTTAAAAAAGTAATAAATGAAAAAAATAGACAAGAAAAAAAAATGTCATAGGACTGTCCTGCTGCAATGCTGTATATAGTTAGATTTCTAAATTTCTGTGTAAAAATATGTATTCTATATTTTTAAAATATTTTTTTTTAAATTTTTTCCTCTGTACTCTGTAGAGACTTAAAGTTTAACATATCAATACTAGATGGAAAATACATTTCGGTTCTTATTTACACTTTTGGTTTCTCACATCAGAAAAACAATGTGATATTTGCACATGTATGTCTGATTTATTTCACTTAAATATGGTCTCATATGCAGCCATTTAGCTAGGAATGTCTCAGGTTTATCCTTCTTTATGACTGAGTAGCACTCCATTGTATAAAGGAAAAAGACCTACATCTTTATCCAGTCATTGGTTAATGGACATATGAGCTGTTTCCAAGATTTGGTTATTGCAAACTGTGTCACTATAAACATGGGTATGCATATATTGCTGTGGTGTGATGCTTTTATTCTTTTGGGAAGGTACCAAGAAGAGGACTAGTCAGGTTGAATGGAATCTCTAGTTGTAGTTTTTTGAGAAGTCTCCGCAGTGGTTGTACCGGTCTTCAGTCTTACCCACAGTGGAGGATTCCTTTTCCCTACCACCCGGCTAGCATTTGTTATTCATTTATTGCTTGATAATAGCGATTTTTTTGGAGTGAGATGGAATATTGGTGGTGTTTTACTTTGAATTTCTCAAAAGACTGATGATGTTGAACATTGTTCATTTATTTGTGGCTTCTATTCATGTGGGAAGTGTCTACTTCAGATGCCCATTTTTTTATTGGATCTTTGAATTTGAAGGGCTGAATATTTTTATTAAGTTTTTAGTTCTCTATATATTTTAAATAGGAATCCTTTGTCATAGGTACAGCTGGCAAAATTTTTGTTCCGTGCTATGGGCTGTCTTTTCACTTTTTTGGTGTTTTTTTTTACCTTGTTCTTTTGCTGTACAAAGGGTTTTTTTTTTTTTTTTTTTTTTTTTTGTATTTTAGGGGATTGAACACAGGGTGTTCAGGGTATCATTACTAGATCAGACTAGTAGTGATCTGCCTATTTTCAGCCGCCCAAGAGCTGGGATTACAGGCGCCACAGAACCCTCTGATTTACTGTTTTTTTTTTTTTGTTTGTTTTTTGTTTTTTGTTTTTTGTTTTGTTTTGTTTTGTTTTTTGTTTTGTTTTGTTTTTTTAATGAACAAAAACTGAAAGCTTTTTTTTTCCATAATCTTATTGAAAAACAAATAGCAATGATACAGTTTCAATGATTCACTGGTTTTTTCCTCTGACTTCCATGTCTCCTGTTTTCTCTTCTGACCTATTCACATATTCTTGTATGCTTCTGTCTGGACTCCTCTAAACCTTTTTATTATACATTGGCACTGTACTTACTTACCTTTTTTTCATAAATTGAAAGTAAACTTCCTAAAGGACAGATAACTAGATCGTTTCTATCTCCAATGCTTATTTAGCATTAGTACTAAGTATATTCACAGTAGGAACAAAATTAGTTTGCTAAATATGTAAGTGAATGTTTTCTAAATTGAAAGCTTTCCTAGCTGCCATATTTGGTCTTCACTTCTAATTTTAAAAAAATCTTATATCCTCATTTTAAAATGTATGACACCACTAACTAAAAGGTTGTTTAATAAGAGGAGATCCTAATTGTTGATTCTTTGTGATAGTTCTTGTGTGATCAGTGTTTTGTTCATAAAGTCTTTGCCTGTACCAGTATCTTCAATAGTTCTACCAATTCTGTCTTCCAGAAGATTTAGTGTTTCTGTTTTAATATTTAGTTCTTTGATCAGTTTTGAATTTAGGTTAGTGCATGGAGAAAAGTATGTGTCTAATTTTAATCTCTGGCTTCTGATGGCTTTCCATCATCATTTATTGAAGAGGACATCTTTTTTGGTTATGGAAAGAAAATTTTTTGTTTCCAAAAAGATAATAGTAGACATAAATATGTTATCTACATAAAGGTCTAAACTGTATAGAGTTGAACGTCTTTGCTTAATACAAGTTAGGATTTTTGTGTTTGTACATTATTTTATATTCTCATTGCTTTATTTTTATTTAAACAGGCATTGGAAAAGTGAAAAGAAAACCTAGTGTTCCAGATTCTGCGTCTCCTGCTGATGACAGTTTTGTTGACCCAGGGGAACGTCTTTATGACCTCAACATGCCTGCCTATGTGAAGTTTAACTACATGGCTGAGAGAGAGGATGAATTATCATTGATAAAAGGAACAAAAGTGATTGTCATGGAGAAATGCAGTGATGGGTGGTGGCGGGGCAGCTACAATGGACAAATTGGATGGTTCCCTTCAAACTATGTAACTGAAGAAGGTGACAGTCCTTTGGGTGACCATGTGGGGTCGCTGTCAGAAAAATTAGCAGCGGTTGTCAATAACCTAAATACTGGGCAAGTGTTGCATGTGGTACAGGCTCTTTACCCTTTCAGTTCGTCCAATGATGAAGAACTTAATTTTGAGAAAGGCGATATAATGGATGTTATTGAAAAGCCAGAAAATGACCCAGAGTGGTGGAAATGCAGGAAGATCAATGGTATGGTTGGTCTTGTGCCAAAAAACTATGTAACCATTATGCAGAATAATTCATTAACATCAGCTTTGGAACCATCACCTCCACAGTGTGATTATGTTAGGCCTTCACTCACTGGAAAGTTTGCTGGCAATCCTTGGTATTATGGCAAAGTTACCAGACATCAAGCAGAAATGGCATTAAATGAAAGAGGACATGAAGGAGATTTTCTCATCCGTGATAGTGAGTCTTCGGTAAGTTCGTTTTCAAAGGTAAATGGAAACAGAGCTTTGGGTATTAAAAAGAAGATTGGAGGGGTTAAATGGCTTCCTTAAAGCTAACCAAGTTCTAAGCTGGAACATAATAACCATAAATAAATGTTCTGAGATTAAAGTCAGTGTTCTTTACAGGTATATTGATTTTGATTGAAAGATAGCTATTAACTGTGTATTTGGTCACATTCTCATTTCTGGGATTAAACACCTGCTAAACAACTTAAGGAGAGGTTTTGTTTTTTGTCTTATAGTTTCAGAGAGTTCAGGTCATGGTTGACACCAAGACAGAAACAGCCTGGTGAAAGGGTGTAGTAAAAGGAAGCCGTTCTTCACTTGGCTACCAGCAAGCCGAGAGAGAGGAGGAGCCCTAGGAGAGATAGACCCTTCAGAGGCATGCCACCAGTGATCTCTCTACATTCAGGACCCAGTTCCTACAATATTCAACTAGGAATTTATCCATAAATCACTGACCAGTATAGTGTTCCACTAGCCAATCACCTTCCAGAAGCTGCACATGAATCTTTGGGGGGACGTTTTAGGTTGTAACCATAATAAGGAGTGATACCATACTAGGATATTTGATCTCACCCAGTTATATTGGTTTTATTTTCCTGGAGTATTTTCTGTTACGGTAAACTGGAAAATGGAGAAAACAAAAGTTGACTTCTTTGTTGAGAGTAAACTAATGCAGTAGATTTAAGTCGGAAAACCATTTCTTAAATTGTTACTGGTTGCTATCTATAAGATCATCACTGTAGTCATTGTAGGAAATTCCTACATTTAAAAATGCAATATGCAAGCCTATTCATAAATGGATTGTTTGAAAATTAAAATACACTTTTTATATTTTAAGACTGTTTGAAATAGAGTTGTAATGAAAGGTAAATTACATTGCAGTATTAATAAACTATAAAACCATGAAAACTAAAGACAAATATAGCTGTTCTCTTGGGTATTGTTAAGGATATTACAATTTTTATGACACTCCTTAAAAATTGCTTTTCTCAGGTAAATGGTATTGCTGCATTGTACTTTTACACTTAGCAAATCATGAGTAGTACTAGTACTGTCTTTGTGTGAATATAATTGTACAAAATGAGTATTTGCTGAAAAGATTGAAAGAAAGTTAAGGAATTGCATATGAGAGAGATTTGAGATTAATTTCCTGATAGGAACCCCTCAGAATGTCAAGTGGTTAGTAATAGGGAAGTAGTAGGATCCATTTTCTATTACATGCCTGATATGGCCTGCTGTTTGAAACTTTAAGAGTAAATACTAAATAAATACTAAGAGGTTTAGTCCCAGACTTCATATTTCTCTTTTAAAAGAACTATCAGCCTGAAATCCCTATTCCTGCAGGGTAACATTCACCAGTGAGAGGTATTCGTTTCTTTAGATTGACCATACACTGTCATCCCCTCTGTTCACCTACCTTGACACCTATTTATATTATTCTTTGGCCCTTGTAGGAATTTGAGTTTGTGACCTGCTAATACAGTTTAGATTGTTTGTGTACCCTTTAGTCTGTAAATAGGCTAGCATAGTGCCTAGTACTTAATACTCAGATTCTAGCAATTAGCAGTTTCATATAAAAATGCTTTCACATGTTTATGGCTTTCAAAATGTTTGCTTTTTTTCTTCTTCTTCTTCTTTCTCTTAGCCAAACGATTTTTCAGTATCACTGAAAGCACAAGGGAAAAATAAGCATTTTAAAGTCCAACTAAAAGAGACCTTCTACTGCATTGGGCAGCGTAAATTCAGCACCATGGAAGAACTTGTAGAACATTACAAGAAGGCACCAATTTTTACAAGTGAACAAGGAGAAAAGTTATATCTTGTCAAGCACTTATCCTGATACTGCTAATCAGAAGTGACTGATACACAGCTTTATTCCTCATGTAATTGAAGACTGAGAAAGTGTTGGTCCAATCCTGCTTGATTGGAAATTGCTGTTTCTAACTCTGTATGAGAATTGACTGTTAATACATAAGTATTTTTTATTATCATTCAGCTCATACATATATACTATATGCAATGCATCAGCATAGAACAAGTTACTTATCTTTGGTCTTCTATTTCACTATTGTTTACTGTTTTTCTTTTGGCTTCTAATATTAAGGTTTTGTATTTTGAGAAAAAAAATCAAATAATGCAGATCAGAAGTCTGTATGAAAGAATTTCTTTATTGCCTTTCCTGTGTTTTCCTTGTAAAGGTCCCTGTTCTGCCATAGTTCTCGTCATATAAAATTATATATGGCATATGCTAAAGTAAATTTCTTGGAAATTATCTTTTCTGTGACTAGCAATAATAAATGGAAAATTAGAAATTATTTTCAGGTTATTGTATTTGTCACCACCAATTGTAAATACCAAATTGTTGTGTATGTTGTTATTTTTTAAATGTCTTCATTGTCTATGCTGCAAAACAGATGGAACATAGGTTAGAAAACATATTATACAATTTTAATTTATAGCTTGAAACGAATCTCTAAATTCTTAAACAGATTTTCTTTGTTGCTTTTTTGCATCTGGTTATTTAAGGCAGTCTCTGAGATACTGAATTTTTAAAACTGTGAGAAATATCTAGTGTTTTTCTCTTTGAGTATTACCTTACAAAAATTTCTTGTATCAGCACGTTATGTTTATGTTATGTGTGAAAAAGTTTTAGGGAGATAGCCAGTGAGCTATATGTATTTTTTTCTTCCCTAAACATATGGGAGGGAGGGATAGTGGTATTTTCAATTTTCATTTCTACCTTTCAGCTTTTTTTTTTTTTTCCAAGTGCTAGAGATTGAGCCCAGGCAAATATTCTGCCATGAGCTACATCCCATTTAAGTTTTGAGTTTTGTTAAGTAGGACACTAAAATTGATGTTTGCCCAATAGAGAAATGAAAGATGTATATGATTAGATAAAATGGTATCATTTTAAAAATTTTGTAGTTTTGTTTACTGAGTAGGAGTTTCAGGGTATGAATGAGAAAATACTGTGAAGTATTGGTTGAGTCTACTTCTGCAGGCCACAGGGAAAAACAATTGTATTTTATGGTCACAGTTTTCATTAATTTGGAAATTTAAATTTACTCAAACCAGTATTTTACTTGAAAATAATTATTAAAACCATGTTGTAAACAATAGAAAGTCATAATTTTCAGAAATATTCCCAAGGATATAAATATTTTCACTTTGCTGTTATAAAGATAATTCAGCAGCACTGCTGATAAAATTTAATGTGTAATTTGAGTGTTTTTTCATTTTAATTATTATTTAAATCATAAAATCATTTAAATACTAATGCTACCACTGGGTGGCAGCCCTCCTTTCTCCCTTTAAGCCACAGAAATCTGCAAATAAGACAGTGGTGTTATAAAATTTGAGCTTTGTTACATCTGCTTTTAAAGCCTTTTAGTTCATAGTTCATTATCTTTCCTTGTTTCTTCTTTATTAAGGTAATTATTAGTAGATAAATTTCATGGAAATAAAATGGTATATATCTTACCTTACTACCACAAAAATCACATGATATGGAGGACAGCAGTTTAAAAATAGTTGTAGAATGAGTGGTAAGCATCTTTTTATTGTTAACATACATTTGCTGGTGGTGGTGGTGGTGGTGGTGATGATGATGATGATGATGATGATGGTTTCTTACTTTCCTTTGTGGTTTCCCAGTCTGTGTTATGGGGAAAAAAACAAAAACAAAAAATGTTTAAATGGAACATTTAATACTTTGTATTACAGAAGTGAGCTGTTTGTAGCTAACCTTTGCTTAGTAAAGCAGAATTTGAGAGAGTAGCTAGGAATAGAGTAGTACTGGAAGCAGGATGCATGTTGCTATGCCATAATTAGACTTATCGTATAGCTGAGTGTGATGGCATACACCTATAACCCCAGTATTTGGGAGGCAGAGCCAGGAGAATCACTGAGTTCAAGGCCAGCCTGAACTACATGCCTCTATAGTGAATTCAAGCCCAGCCTGATCTACATAGTGAGTTGTCTCAAAAAAGCAAATGAAAAGGATTATAGCTATAGAATTCCAGATGATACATATTTGTCTCAGTATCTGTTATTTTCTCATTTGTCGATAAAAACCTTGGAAACTACTTTGTACTTCAAAATGTTTTCAGTTTGGTATTTTTTTTTAATTGTTAAAATTCTTAGGCCAATAGCTGTTTTTATAAGCATGTATGTTATTTGATACAGTTTTCTTAAGAATTGGAACAACCTTATAAAAGTAGCTATGTAGCTAGGTAGTAACAGGACTTGTATTAGAAACTGGGTTTCCTCATTCTCAGCATGGTGTGTATATTGTCACATATTTGCTCTCTGTGTGCTAGTTTTAGTTGAGGAAAAGGAAAAGCCGTATCACAGAAGTTGTCTGCATATGAGATGATTATTTCATAATTACTAGTTATTATGAGATGATTAGTTACATATATCACATGTAAAACACATAATCCTTCTAGCCACTTATATAAATGTACAAAATCTTTGAAGTTTTTTTAGAAATATGCATAAATGTATATATTTAATAAGAAAAAGTAATTGCTGTTATAACTTTTATTTGGCCATAAATCCTTAGGGTTCAGCCATTATATTCACAAATTTATATGACACACATAGCACACTACCACACTATACAGCTTAGCATACGCACCCAGTACCACTAAAGACCTTGACAGGTCACTGAACAAAACAAGAAAACCAGTGCCACTGCTAGAATAGGAAGGCCTAACATGTAAGCAACTTTATTAGAATAGGGTCATCCTTGTAGGTAAATGTCATATAGATTATTTCTAGCTGTGTAATCTTCTATCACATAACCCAGCAATAGCAAAGATGCAAGGTTCTAATTGTGTAGTATAGTACCTTTGTGAGAATTAGGAAAAGGCATCTTCCTTTCACCTTATCAGGGAATTTACACCCCCACCGCTTGGGCAGGTGCTTTGTTCATGTTACAACCAAAACCAGTGGCTTTATACAAGAATACTGTTTAACCTACACAGTGCTGAAGCTGAGCATGGTGCAGTGCCTATAGTCCCAGATACTCAAGAGGCTGAGCCAAGAGGATCAGTCTTTTGAACCTAGAAGTTCAGGCCAACCTGGACAACATGGTGAAGCCTCACTAAAAAAAAAAGAAAAAAAAAAAATTTAGAATTGGGGGATTTTACATAAAATTCAGTTACAGTTCTCTTAAAAATGAGAAGAGGGTAACACTAGGACTTAATTCCTCTAGGCAATCAGCTGGAATCTAGTATAAGTAATATTTTTTTATTTTTACCAATATACCAATTGCAAAAATTTAACAGCATCTGCAATCCATCTCTTAACCCTTATACTACCCGCTAGTTCATGAACACCCCTCCCCCCATCATGTTTTTGGCTTGGAATTTGCAAATTTTTATTTTTCAGAAATTACTCAAATCAAATTTTGAAAGTGACATTATAACATGTTTCAGCATTTCTATTTCAACTCTTTGCTAAAAGATAAGGGAGATATATATATATATATATATATATGATATATATCTTAACACTTAAAAATGCCTTCACAACTGTCGTCACTTTTTCCTTAAGGGACATTGAGGATAGAATAGATGATATCCTCCTTTTGTGTTTTGAACAGCATCCTGTGGACTTAAACAATGGCAGCTTACTGATGGGGGTGGTGTATGGTTTGGTTGCAAGGTAGGAGGGAGGATCAGCTTGCTCCTCTCCTGAGAAGCTGATTCTGTTGGTGTTTAGCAGCTCTGTGTGACTCAACACTGCCATATTCTAAGCTTTGACAGACAAGGAAAATACGCACGCTCCACACCCTAATTTCTTGCTGTTACATGAACTAAAGCACCTGACAAGAATTGAAATGTGTGTTTTAGTTTACTTGTGAAGTGCTCTTTTGATTTGAAAATATACATGTGCTAAGACTTGTCTGATGAGTTGAACAAACTGGAGTTGTGTTTTGAAAAGCAAGAGGAAGAGTTTCACTTTTATTAGCCATGTTCACAGATGTGTTTTAAATCAGTGTCTTTAAGGATAATTTGTGTCTAGAGCAATTTCCTAATATCAAGTATTTCAGAATTGGCACTCCTGATGTCTGCAATGGCTTAGCAAAGCCATTGAGGTTAACTATAGGACTGACTTGATTTTTAAATGTTTCTACTCAGATCGCTTAAAAGCACATGGATACCTGGTGTCATTTTGGAATAATGTTGCAAGTTTTATTTTAATTATAACCATAGGGATAGCACGCAGTTTCCTCTTTCACTATATTTTTATGTGCCATGGAATAAATGACTTTCAAACAGGAAAACATTATTAAACACTTTAAGACAGACATGGTTAATATATTTAGTTGCTTTAAATAAACTTTTGGGTTCATTTTAAGACTATGGAGAAATGACTCCAGAAAGGGACTGCTAGATATTGGCTTTAGGTTAAAGACAGGAAGACTTATTAAATTTCTATTTCTGAGCACTTAAAAGGGAGGAAATTAGCATTCCCTGAGTTTTTCTTTAGAGCAAATGATGTCAGATAAACTTGTTTTGATGTATTTTCTGGACTATAGATAGACTTAAAGAGTGTTACAAAAAGCAAACACAGATTTCATCTGGGGGGATATAGTAACTTAGTGTCAAAAAAAATACTGTTTTTGAACTGTTGTAGTTTGGTTGTTGAGTATCCTCCAAGGCCTCATATCCCCCACCCACAGCACTGTTGATAGAACGTTTGGGCAGTGGGCATTTAATGCAAGAAGTTAAGTCCTTAGGGCCTGCCCCTAATGGGGGCTATTCCAGCTGGTTCCCTTTTCTCCTCCCTCTGCCTTCTGGACACTATGTGCTCTTACCCCATGTACTGTCCCACCACAATACCAAGTGAATGTGGCCTGAAATCTCTCAATCTGTGAGCCAAAACAAATCTTTCAAGTATTTAGGTATTTTTGTCCTAGTAACAGCTTAACACTGATGTTCTATCAATGTGTATCTGAATGTTTTAAGAAGCTATTGGAGGTACTTACCCATTCAACCTCAAGTATTTTACTGCTCAGGTGTAGGCTATTCAGTTGTGGGTGTAGGGAAAATGAACAAAGACTTCATAAACTTTTGGCGGTAGTTATGTAGTTAGTGTCTACTGAAGAAGGCTTTGAATTAAGTAGATTCATCAAGCAAGAGTGAGGTTGAGGATGTTTATATAGGATGATGAAAGGAGATCTTGGATAAAGTTGACCATTGAGCATAGAGTGTGCTCCAGTTAACAGAAGAACTAGCCAGTGATTGAATGTAAGCAACCAAAATCACTTGAAAATTATGCAGATCTTGATTTATTATAGCATGTTCTTAACTACAAAGAACTATTCTAAGTAAACCATGATTCTCTAAAGAGTTACTGGGAGATATTGTTATTGTTATTTTGATACTGGGGATTGCACTCAGAACCTTGCACTTGACAGGCAGGCTCTTATTCCACTGAGCCCAGCCCTTTTGGGAGATACAGTACAGCAAAATGACTACAGGAGGACCACAGTTTGGCAGGGTTAAGTAAGGGTTTTAATCTTATGCTAATTTAAGAATAAGAACTGAGGTCAGGGGAAGTTAAATCTTTGATCACCAGGCAGTAAATATTAGGAAACAAATTGAAAAATCCAAAGTATGTTCAGAGGTAGTGAAAAGGAGAGGTGGGAGCTCTGAAAATTGGAGCTTGACAGTCTAGACTTGGAGTGGACTTGGTGGAATTAGAAGAGTCTTCAAAGGAATTCCACTGTTTAAATTCACTGTTACTGTCTCCTCCCCCAAATGGAGACATTGGTTTACAATTAAAGGTCAGTTGTGCTAAAACACAGAACATAGATGTTCAGGAATGTTGGATGCAGAGGGAAAACTCTGTGCTAAGAAGGGTAAGGGAACGTTGTGGGAATGGAGTAATTGACCATCTAGACTGACCTGGACACCAAGGCCTGTTCTGGACTCCAATTTTGTACCGTAGGTTCTTCCTGCTCTTCAGTCAAGTCCTGTCCCTGCAGGCACAGAAGATTTTAGAAGGCTGTTTTAGGCTGTTTTGACCATCAAAATTCTCCCTTTTCCACTGCTTTCTACCTTTCCCTTTTTAATCTGCTTAATTTTCCTCCCATAATTTAAGTGACAAATAGTATTAACAGGAAAAAGATCCCATTTCTAGACCATACCTGCTTGTGAGAAATACATCCATTCTTATTGTAACTCCACAAGACTGAAGGGTAACTTGAGAAGTACAGACAACAGAGGAGGATAGCTTGGTTCTGGCATTTACATAGGAAGCTCTCAGCCAGTTGAGATGGCATAGAAGTAAAACAAAGTTAGGGGCATACAGGCAAACCGGGGTGGAGACCAGCAGGATTGTTCTTTAGACGTCCTCACCCAGTGACGTGGACCAGGCACAGGAGGATGGTCTGACCTCAGCTTGAGGAGGCCTGCCATTTAAAAGCTGTGATATTGGTCTTAACCATCCAGCAGAAAATTATAAAAATGAAGTATGAAAAATAAAGCCATATAAATATGCTTAGTTGTAAAAGGCTTAAGTCAACAACTTATGACACTGCCAGTCCTACAGAAAACACACTACTATTATGGACTACTGGACTATATTGGAATATTTTGCTGAATTCATGTACCTACAATATTTAAATGATAATGGAATACCCTTCTCTGACAAAACTAAACAAAAAGGGGTACAAATGAATGACCTTTTTTTTTTTGAACAACTATTTTGTGTCTATTTTCAAAATAGGATAGATACACAGCTGCATTCTCTTAATTCAATGAAGAGAGATTTATTCAATTCGTTCGAATAGTGTTTGTGGACAAGATATGTCTGCATCTTGTACAATGAATACTAAAACAATATGCAATGTATTATTGAAACTGTGCTAGTAATCGGTTTTGAAAAAAAAAAAAGCTGTGATAAACTGCAGTGGTGGTGCACATGTATATTCCCAGGGCTTTGGAGGCTGAGACCCTGACTCCAAAGTGCAGAAAAGGCCGAGAGCATTTTCCTTTAGTGCCCCTTTAGGTATCCTGAGCCTAGCCATTTGTGAAGACCTATGTGTCTGGCCCTATGCTAATACGCTTTGTCTGCATTCTTCAATTCCTATAACCGTGATGCAAGGCATTATTGTGTTTATCATATAAATAAAATCCATGAGGTTCACGGAGTTGTTTTCTTCTGCTTGCATCAAAAGAGCATGATTTTTTTCCACCTACCCCTCAATCACAGGTATCTAGCTTTTGGCCCAAGGCCTCCACTAAAACTCCACTTGCTAAGATATTTATAAATGACTTCTCAGTTGCTAAATCCAGAGGATATTCTTCAGTGGCCAACTCACTGGCCCTCCTTTGCACTGTACTGGGATAATCATTTCACACTGTGTTGTTTCCAGAGCCACTTCTCTGACCTGTATCTTCCACCATCATCTCCCATTTAAATGTGGGCCTTCTACAGGAGCACATTCATAGCTCTCCTCAACTGCATGTTCTCCTTGGATGATCTTATCACTACCAGTGCAATACTGGAGGCAGGGGGAAAGGTGCCATGCCATTGACACCCATCAACTTGAGACAAAGATTCTTTACGTACTGGAGTATTCCCTTAACTGTGTGAGCATCTCACATTCAAGTGTGTCAAGCTGAATACATGCATCTTTATCTGCACCTCCCCAACCCTGTCTGTCCTGACCCCACCCCGTCTTGCTCCTCATTTCAGCTGAGTTGCTGCCATACACCCACTTACCCAAACCCAGAACCTGAAAGTCATGTTTGACTCTTTGTTCCCTGGTGTCTCCCAATCCACTCAATATTCAGAAGCTGTACATCTACCTTCTCTATCTTTTAAATGTGGTGATGTCTCAGACATGAAAAACCTAGTGTAGGCCAGTGATACCTGTGGCTTAGATGACTACCACAGTCATCCATCCCTCCAAACCCTGCCAACTCTGGCTCACATTATTATTATTCTGCACCTCCTTAGTCATAAATTTTTAAGATCAAATGTAGGGAATGCCATGATCGATTTGAGTTTTTAACCTTTCTTTTGACCTTCATTCTCAGGTTAAACTTAAAGCTCCTGCACAAGACTTTAAAAGTGCTCTGGTATCCTGTTGCTGTCTGAGCCCCATCTCTTAGCACTTTACAAACTTCTTATAGTTTCATAAACACAATGCCTGACTGATTTTTTTTTTCTTCAGAGTTTAATAGTCATAAAGACACCTCCTCCAGGAGACTATCTGTGATCCCACAGGCTAGATTAGATGTTTCTGAGTGCTTCTGTATTCACTTGTGAATATATCTGTCACTACATTTTTAACATTGTTGTATGATTATTTCCAAGTGCTGCTTCTCCAGTAGTTAGGAAGTTCTCAGAAGAGCAAGAATAGTTGAATACTCAAGATTGGTTCTTCTGGGAATGAGCATTCCTGCTCTGCTGGAAGGAGCAGCCACCTAGGATCATAAACTCGCTAACAGCAATGAGTTGAAAGGATGGAAGTTTTTCTTGCGGTACTTGGTATTGAACTCAGGACCTTGCACTTGCCAGGCAGGCACTTATGTCACTGGAGTTTAATCCCAGTACTTGGGAGGCTGAGGCAGGAGGAGTATTGCAAGTTCAAGAGCAGTCTGGGCTACAAAGTGAGTGTAGTGTAAGGCCAGCCTGAACTTCATAGTGAGGTCCTGTCTCAGACCAAAAAAAAAAAAAAGCACTTTATTTGGTAGGAGGAAAAGTAGAAGACAAAAAGCTGCCCTAAAGACAGGGAAAGGGGGTTCCAGAAAGATCAATTTCCCAGCTTCTGTTTATCAGGAGATAAGGGCCCTCCCTCTCAGGTTGATACCTAGAACTTGTCACAATTCTAGTGGCTCTCTGGACTATCCTAGGTGGATCCCAGGGCACAGGACTCTAACCTGGGCAACAGTTTATGTGCATATAGCTTCAGTGGGCTTTGATTTCTCCTTGTCCATTTATCCTTGTCAGGGCCTTATTCTGAAATTTATAGGTTGTCTCAGGAGCCTTATGGAAAGGCTATTTAAAGTTAGTGATTAAGGGAATGTGTGTTATCTGTTCTCTAGTGCAGCAGTATGGTGGCCCTATAGTGGGAATATGTATAAAGGGATGCCTCAGTTCACAATCATTCCATTTGCAGTTTGATTCACAAACAGGCACTTGGCAAAATTTTGCTGTTGTTTGGAATCTCTGCATCAGATGACAACCACAACCATCTTCCCCACACAGACAAAAATGTAGTCTTCTTCCCTACAACTGTAAAACAAACTAAGGTACCACTGTATATTTTTATATAGTTTTCCTTTAAGTTAGTAGCTCCCTGACCCTTTTGTCTCCTTTCCATCTTATTGGAGGTAGACAGGGGTGGATATCTTGCGTTCTAGCATCTGGCTTCCCTTGTGCTCTGTGTCAGCCTCCCTTGCCTCCCTCTGATTCTTTGGGGTAAGTCCCGATGTCATTTGGTGCCTTTATCTGGTTTATTTTCTCTATCCTTGTCCTTTGAATTGCTCCCTCCAGGAAAATCTTAACTCTTTCCAGTAGGATTAGCCAGAAATCCTAATGCCCCTTACTTTATTTGTTCTTTGCCAAGAATTCCTTTTTTTTTTTTTTTTTCCTATAAAATCTAACACACAACAGGCCCTCAGAGAATACTTAACTGAGTGGATAGGTGACTAATTTTCCCAGGGTTACACTGCAAATAAGTTCTGAAATTAGAACCAAAACAAGTTCTACCATAAAATCCATGTTCATACTACTATTGTATTTGCTTATTAGGGTGCTTAAAGTTGTTGAAGAGTCACAATTTTTGTTTATGGGTTTATGTGTGAGTGTGTGTGTGTATGTGTGAATCTTTTATTTAACAGGGCTTGTGATACAGCACAGGAGGGCTAGTACCCAGGAGGAAGCACTCCTAGACTAAAATTGGAACAGTCAGAATTTAAAAGGCTAAATTCAATATAGTGTTTTCCTTCCAATATGTAAAATTGATTTTGATTATTTTAAGTCATGCATTCCCATATTCAATGATCAAACAATATGAAAATGATGTTCAGTAAAGCATCTTGTTTCCATTTTTCACTTTCTTTTTCCCAGTTTCACTCCCTCTGCCTCAAGATAATCCTGTGTTCCTTGTATCTCCTAGGTTTTCTTTTGGCAAATGCATGTAAATATGAAGCTATGTGTTCTTCATCTTTTAACATGATCTTACCAGGTATAGTTGTGCACATCTGTAATTCCAGCACACTGTTGGATGAGGCAGGAGGATCACCATGAATTCAAGGCCAGCCTAGACTACAATAGGGAGACCCTGTCTCAAAAAATTTAAATAGATAGGTCTTAATTAAAAAAAAAAAAAACAACTTATCTATTTCTTTTTTGAAGTAGGTATATATTAGCAAAAAGAGCCAATCAGTACCAGCCTGAATAAACTCAGAGGGAGACTTGGAAAAGTACACGTATATGGTGAAGGGAAGATAATTGTGCCTGCTCCTGCACCTCTAGGGACACCTTACCCAACCCACAGATCCCTGTGCTCCAGAGATTTCCTCCAGGCAGATTCTCAAGCTCCCCAGAGTTGTCTTCTCTGAGGCCACTCCCCTTGCTGCAATAGCTGGGTTTAGGCCGAAAGGAGGGTGCTGCATAGCCCGCCCCTTCTGTGCTGTTTGAGCCAACTCCTCTTTCCAGAACAAAACTGCAACCCAGACCTCAGCTCCAATGTCCTCCATCTGAAGCGGGATGGCTTGAATGGACAGAATGCTTCATTGTAAAAGGAAACAATGTTCCAGGTCAAACTAAGTCTGCAAACAACCCTCACAATGGTTCAAAAAAGCCTCTGGACAAGTCTTATCATGTGGCTTTCCCACACCTTGATTCCATGTTTGCTCACAGGTAAGTAGGAATTAGAATTCATTTGGTGATTTGGGCCTTGAGCATAGCTTAAGAAGGTGAAAAATATTTTCCTGGGGTTGATATGTGTGTATAGAACATTGTACTTTTTCTTGCTCATCTAAAGGTATCTATACCATTTAAAAAATAAATTGGGTTGGGGGCATTTTCTCTGCCAGTAAGGTTACAAACTTTGCTTGTATCTACCTCTTCACGGTGCCAAAATTGCATCCTGATGTTTCTTCATATTAAACAGCATTTAAGAGAAATTTCTAATTTTAATATTCCAAGATTCTGGTCATTTGTGGTGTTAGTGGGAACCTCAGATCTCTCTCTCTCTCTCTCTCTCTCTCTCTCTCTCTCTCTCTCTCTCTCTCACCTTTAGTAATTCTAAATAAATAATTTTTTTTATACTAAGGCAAAGGCAATCTGCAGATGTTTAGAACTGACTCAAAGATCAAACATACCACGTTCCTTTCAATTCCCTTAACCTTCACCACTCCCAATTGCTTGGTACACAGTGCCCAATTTCTTTTCTTCTTTTCCATGACCCCAGCACATTTAAGCCTCACCCTATGTTTATTTGACTCCATTTCTCACTATTTCTTGAAAACATAGGCGGAAGGCAGCTGCCATCTTCGCAGTAAGCACACTATACTGTCATTTCTTCCTCCTGGCATTTATTGTTCACAATTTCCCACCAGGAGCACCATCTCCTTGCTTTTCTTATCCTACTCCCAGTATCATTCCAGATCCTTCTTTCCATAGACCCTTCCTGGGCCTCCCTTGCTTCTTTAACCCTTGGTGGTTCATTTTTCAGCACTGGCCTGAGGGAAGAGACTGGGCATCTTTCCTAGTGTCCTTAATCATCTAGCATAGCCTGAATTGGTTGGTTGTCTGATTAGTTGGTTAATTGTTTCTTATCAGGATTAAAACACACACACACACACACACACAAAAAAAAAAAACAAGTCAGGGAAACTTCCCTCCACTGAGCCAAAGGTAGAAGATGAGAAGTGGAATGGAAAGTAGAAAGATCAGTATATTTTCACCTGACAGTTACTCCAGTGAATTCAGTCTTTAAAATTTTTTCTTAAAAATTTCTGTTTCAAACAGACCTGGAGGTGAGTGTGCACTTTGGACAGTTGCTAGTTCACACAAAAAGACAAAGCAAAACAACAGTGGTGGAAACCACAGGACATCAGAGTCCGAGGATGTCTGTGTGAGTGTCGGACCTGATCACTTTTGGACTGTAATGGTTGATTCATTGTGTTAACTTGAAAAATCTAGGAGCTTGCCTGGCAAGTACAAGCTCCTAAGTTCAATCCCCGGTACAAAAAACAATCTAGAAGCTTAATTAAATAATAGCAGTTCTATATCCTGGGGAGCAGATGACATGCCATTCCCCTCTAAGATGTTCATTGTGTCAACTGCAGAAATTCAGAAGTTTTTTAAGTCTGGAGCTCAATTGTAATGTATTAGTTCGTTAGTTTTGATAACTGCGTCTTGGTTACATGTTCTCACTGGGGGAAGCTAAGTGAAGGTATATGGGAACTCTGTGTACTTACTGTCTTTGTAAGATGTATGGAGCTCTAAAGTTATTTTAAAAATTTAAAATTCTATGTTAAGAAACATGAAAAAGGGTCAGGAAGGGAACAAGCTGAAGAGACACAGGAGTTAATCTAAAAGAGTTCCCAAAGACCAAAGCTGGAGGGCCGGCCAAATAGTTCAATGGATTAAAGTGCCTGCAAGCAGGTTTGATCCCCTGGCCTGCTGTGCCGGCCCCTCCCACTTGGGAGGCTGTAAGCAGGAGAATCACTATGAGTGCAATCTAGTAGTGAGACCCTGAACATCCTGTAGACCCCCCCCCCAAAAAAAAAGACCCAATCTGGAAAAATTCGAATAGCAAAATATGATGATAGTGCTGGATTTTAACCATAGAATAAGATAAATCTATATGAGTACATACTGATATAAATAAATGAGTGAGGCCAGTTATGGTGGCTGAGGCAGGAGGATAGCTGTGAGTTTGAGGCCAGCCTGGTTGATGTAGTCCAAGGCCAGCCTGAATTACAGAGTCAACCCCCCCCCCACCAAAAAACAACAACAACAACAACAAACCTAAATAGATAGTTCAGTGGATTAAAGCATCTACTTAGGCAGACACAGGGGCCGGGGTTCGATCCCTGGCCTGCTAAGCTGGCCCTGCCTCACGGCATGCTGAGAGGCTGATTGAGACTGGATGTGGTGGTGTGCACCTGTAATCCCAGTGCTTGGGAGGCTGAAAACAGGAGGATCACTACAAGTCCCATCTGTGTGGTGAGACCCTGTAGTCCCTATACTAAATACATTTAAAAAAAAACAAAAACCCAGCTGATCCTTACTCTTCAGAAATGTCAAATCATAAAAGAGACTGAGAGCAGTTTGGAAGGGATTACAGTACTTTAATACCATAACTAAATGGGGAATCATGGACTGGTTCCTGGACAGTGGAAGTATTAAGGCAGAAACTGGTGTGATTTGAATAAAATCTGACGTTTATTTAATGATATTGCTTCAGTATTAATGTTAGTTTTCATACTATGGCTATGTATCTTTACAAGGCTGACAGAAGGGATTTGTTGGCAGGATTGGGTTTGTTCTAAAGGCTCTAGGGATGAATCTGTTTTCTTTGCCATACCCAGCTGCTGCTGGCCACTGGAGTTCCTTGCTCCATGTCCTCTTTCCATGGTCTGTGTGTACCATTGTTTGTTTAACCACTCACCTTTTCCAAGATATCTGGGATAATTTTACTTTTACCATGAACATTCATGTGCAGGTCTTACATGATAAAAAGCTTTCATTTCTCTAGGATAAAATGCCCAAGGGTACAATTGGTAGGTCTAATAGTCATTACTGACTAGTTCTGTGAGATCCTGCCCAGTGTTTTCCAGAGTGAGTATTACCATTTTTTCCAGCAGTGTATACAGGGTCGACTTTCTCTTCTTACCAGAGTTTGGTTTTGTTACTTTAAAATTTTTTTGCCATTCTGCTAACAGTGCAGCGCTATCTCATTCTGTTGCTAATTTGCATCTCTCTAATAGCTAATGGCTTTAAGTATTTTTTCACATGCTTATTTGCTATCTGTATATCCTCTTTTCATGTTAAATGTCTTTTGCACATTTCCTAATGAAATTGTTTGATTTTCTGCTGTTGAGTTTAGAGAGTTCTTCATGTATTCTGGATAGTAATTATCTTTGAGATAATGGTTTGCAAATATTTTCTCCTACTGTGTAGTTTGTCTGATCATCCCCTTAATGGGGTCTTTTTTATTTTTTATTTTATTGGTACATTTTAGATTTATGTAATGATAACATTCATCATTGGGAGTTTGTACCTGTAAGTGACATATTTGGCTGCTGCTTTTCTTCCCATTCTCCTCTGTTCCCTTGACTGCCTCTTCACCTCATTTACAAAAGTCTTGTTTCCACTTTTTCCTGCTCTTCTTTCTCTCATTCCTTCTTTCCTTCTCCTCACTCCCCACCCTTGTTCACCTTCTCATATTTCCCTGTATCTACTATACATTATGTCCTTATTTACACTTTCAATTTCTCACATGAGACACAAAGAAGTATTTACATATGTGTGTCTGGTTTATTTCACTTTAAAATATGGTCTCAAGGTGCAGCCATTTAGCTAGAAATGTCTCAAGTTTATCCTTCCTTATGACTGAGTCGTACTTCATTGTATATTAAAAAACAAAACAAAATAAAAACCTAGGGCTAGGGAGATAGCTCAGCGGTCTAAGCTCCTGATTGTCAAGAGCAAGCACCCGGGTTTGATTCCCGGTACTGCGTGTTGTGTCAACCTTGGAACCCCCATGTGCTGTGCTGACCACCCACCAAAACAGGGCATGGTGGGGCACATCTGTAATCCCAGTGCTGGGGATGCTGAGACAGGAGGATTTTTACGAGTCTGAGCTTCATAGAGACATCCTTTACCAAATAAATAAAAGATTTTTTTTTTAAATTCAAAAGAAAAAACCCTGTATCTTCTTTATTCATTTATCAGTTGATGGGCATTTGAACAGTTTCCAAGACATGGCCATTACAAACTGTGTCACTGTGAACAGGGGTGTGCCTTAAAATGACCCAAGTTTCTTCATGGCAGTTTTGTGTATAAATACCACATTTTCTTTATTCATTAATCTACTGATGGGCATGCAAGGTGCTTTCAAGACTTAGCTATTATGAATTGTTCTGCTGTAAATGTGAGTATGCTTGAATTACTGTGATGTGATGCCTTTATGTTTTTTGGAATGACACCTAGGAGGGGCACAGCTAGGTAAATGGAATTTCTAATTTTAGTTCTTTAAGGAATCTCCATAATGATTTCCATAGTAGTTATTCTACTTATATTCCCACCAGCAGTGTAGAAGTGTTCTTTTTTCCTTACAGCCTTACCAGCATTTGTTATTATTGGATTCCTGATGATGGCCATTCTTTGTGGAGTAGTGGGGAATCTCAGTGTTTTCTTTTGTTGTTGTTTTTGTTTGTTTGTCTGTTTTTTGCAATACTGTGGATCAAACTCAGGATCTTGCGCTTGTCAAGCAAGCACTTATAACACTGAGCTATATTTTCAGCCTTCAATGTTGTTTTAATTTGTATTTCTCTAATGGGCAGGGGTGTTGAACATGTTTTTCATGTATTTATTGGCTATTTGTATTTCTGCTTCTGAGAAAAGTCTGTTCTTTTCAGTTGTCCATTTTTTGGTTGGGTCTTTTATTTGACGGGGGGGGGTCTAATTTTTCTGATTTCTTTGTGTACTGTACATGCTGGCCATCTCTGACAAGTAACTGTAATTATATATTCTAGAAGTTAGTCTTTTGTCTTAGGTACAGCTGGCAAACAGTTTTTCCCACATTGTGGGTTTCACGTTTGGTGGTTTTTCTCATTGTGCAAAAACTTTTAATAAGATGAGATCTCACTTATTGATTCTTTGTAATAGTTTCTGTACAGTCCAGG